CAGGTTTAAATTAAAATATAAGGCCATATACTGGCATGGCTAAGAGAAAAGTGCAGAGTTGGTTCTGTAAACCTCGTTTCAAAGCACTAGTAAAAGATGGATAAGAGAGGCTGTTATCAGGGTGGTCAGAAGGTTGATCTTAGCCCAAAGGCTGCTGAGGAACATATCAGTCTTGTAGTTTCTCAGCCATGCTCTCTTGCAGGTCAAGTCACATCTTAACTGAAAAGCTAGTTCCTGTCATTGGGATTTGCAAGCCTGTTCCAAGACAGAGAGGCCTCATCTCCAGTCCGTTCTACTAGGGCTGTTGCTAGAAGAGGCTTTTGAAGATCATCACACTGTTTTTGTTACTGTGGCCGGGTTCCTATTAAATTTTGGGTTTGTTTGTTCTAGGCAAACCAATAACTTTCAGGGAAACACTGCAGCACAACCAGCCCTGACAGAGTCTGTGATGGCAGCCTTTTCTTATTGAACAAACCTTGTATAGAAAGTATATTTGGAACCCAACTTAATCCTAGTTTGAGGTCTATTTTTGTACTGTTTTGTGTGGTCTATCTTGGCATAATGTTACTGTGATGTATTCGTCAAACATTTTCTAAAAGGTGACTGCTAAGGTTATGAACATCTCATGTATTTAGAACCATCAGTACTCCAACATAGAACTAGATAATGCATGAAATGCTCCAGAAAAGAGAAATACAACATTGACTCCTCATTATGCTATACTGCTAGAGGAATACAGGAAGAATTGGAGAGATTTTAAGTGGTTGGAACAGGAAGAGCTAGGGAGAAGAGCTAGAGAAAGAAGTGAGAGGAGACGGTTTAGGTCTGGGAGATAGGATAGCAAGAAAACTTTTTATTTTATTTTTGACTTTACCTATGTATTTATATACCTGGTCCATTTAAATCTTGTTTATTTCTTTGATTTAACTGGCAGAAGGAAATATTGACCAAATGTCCCAGAACATAAAGATGGATTGCTACTGATGTATGAGTTATTTTGGGAAAGTGACAGGATCGATAATCCTTTTAGCACATCAGGATTCAAAGGCTGCTTGCTTAATACTGATGAGAAAGTTAACATAAATATGGAGTGTTATACAGGAAGGCTACAACTGATCTCAGATGTTCAGAGCACATAGATATTGTACTGTTACAGATACCCTCCTGCAGTGATGGAATGTGATCTGTTCTCTGCTTGAATCAGCCGGAGCAGGTTAGAACTTCAGTGCCCTATGTATCCATAGGAATGAATCCTTCATCAAGAAGGAAAAGGTCTGTGAGTTAGAAGGACGGATAATGAGTGGCAGATTATGCCTAGAGAAGTTGGGGAGAGTTTTTCATGCAAGATCAAAATTCCAACTATTTGCATTCTTCTCCTCTTAAATAAAGGCACCTACTAATTTTACCTAAAGCATTTTTCAGATTAAGAATTTTAGTGCTGTGATAGGTCAGGTTCTTCAGGAATCTAAAGAACCTACATGTCCAGATAACATTGACTTTAAATGAGATTTCTGTCCATGGCTCCTTTAGGCTTCTTTCAGGAGTCGGCAAAAATAACACAAGATGAATGCTTAAATGCCAGCAAAACAAGTAAGTTTTATCATTTTGTATACAAGAGGTGAGTTCAATTCAACATGCCTTGCAGCCTTGTAAATCATTATTTACAACAGTACACCATGAGTTTAAAATACTGACATCCTGATGTGGTAACATCGTACAACGTGTATATTATCTGGTGCTGCAGGGCAGTGATAAATCGGGCTTTGTCTTAGCAGTAATTAGAATCAACATAGCTCCTTCTGAAATATATTCAAGGAAAAGAATGAGGTTAAACTTCAATATAATTGTAGCAAATGTACGTCTGTTGCCGAGATAAGATATTAACCAGCTACTTGCTGCCTGTCCTTGTTTGACAGGAAGCCACTTAAATCTCACCACTCTGGAAAGCCACACGTGAAAGATCTGAAGAGGAAGTAATACATCTCACTTAACTCTGTTCATCGTTTCGGCTGTGAATTGTGAAACCAATTTTTAACAAAACTGGATAGGAGACTGAGTGAAAGTGAAGGGGATTTTGAAAAGGTCAAAGATGAGAGCTTTTTACCTTGGTTTCAGGTCTGAGATCTATCAGCAAGATAATGTTGGAGAATGTCTGTTGGCTGTTTATATTAAAGATGAAAGAGCAAGGCGGAGAGCTCCAGCTCAGTGGACCATCAGGTAATTTTTCTTGGGCTTTCAGCATTGCAGAAGCGTCTTTTTGTTTGTTTTTTCGTTTGGTGGTGTTGCTTTGTAACTTTGCTTTGCAACACATCTCAACTCTGTAATAATAGCAGTCTTTACTAACCTAATCACATACTGTTTTTCCTCACAGAATTCATGCAGTAAGTGAGCAATGTAGGAAATAGTCACAGTGGCTATAAGCAAAAAATATTTTCTGTTTCTGAACCTTCTACTGAAGGGAAGCAAATTCTTGCTAGTTTCCAAAAGTCCTTATCCAAACGTGGGATTCTTTTATTCTGCTGCTCTCTGCCTAATGGCAGATCCACCGTTCGCCCTCTCGGGTGCCTCCTCGCCTGTGACATTTGCTTTGCACTTTACAGTTTGTGTGCAAATGGGAGCAGGAGCTGGGTCTTAGTGGGAATCGCTCCTCTGCTGCTTTGGACAGACAGAATGATGCTACACAAATCACCTTAGGCTGAACAAAGTGTACTTTGGTGTCCTTGTCATAAAGTGCTAATTGCAAGGTTTTAATGTTTGAAATGGAGAGTGGCTTAAGAGAGAAGGTGACCTCTCTCTTTGCAATACCTGAATACTGATGGCAGTATTCATCTCTCCTCTGAGACTGTTTTACAGAGGGGAATATAGGGTCTGTTAGATTTCAATATTAGCAATAAATGGAGGTCACTTTTTTGGGGGAAAAAAGTGGTATTTTGTAATTATACTGAGGATACTGTCCAAAATACCCCTTAAGCATCTGCTATTAATCTAAAACACTGAATGAAAGAATCAAGTTTGTAAATGTTTAAATATTATCTTTTACAGCTTTTCTGGCTGTTAAAGATGGGACTTGGGAGGATTGTTCAAAATTTTACATGCTACTTGCAAGAGACCTGCATTAAAGACTTCAGTATCATTGCCTGACACTGTGTTTACACAGGCCCCGCTGTTTGCAGAGCATCTCTCTATCGAACTCTCCATGTAGCTCAAGAAATTGCCGGTGTCAACGTGCGTGCACAGAGCGGTGTCTCGGCGCTGTGCTGCAGTGTGTGCCTGCCTGCAAGGAGCAGCTGGCTGAGTGTGGTCCCTGAGGGCAGCCTGAGCTGTCGCGAGGTTTTCTGGATGCTGGGGGGAGGCTCAGGAAGGCTCTGCTTCCTTGGTCCTCCCAGCACGGAGCGGAGCTGCTAGTGCATGATTGCATTGAGTTGAAGCTTGTAAAAATACAGTTTGGAGATTTGAACACTACAGTTCAAGCATAATGGTTCAGGCAGATCCATATAGTGATAGGAAGTTCCCTCACCAAATGTGCCAGAAAAGGCTGCATGACCAGTGTGGGTAATAATGGTTTCATTTTTTTTTTTCTCTCCCCTCTCCATAGTGACTTTCTTGTGCAGCAGTAGTTTGTTCTTTAGTTCAGCTTGGTGTCTGGTGATTTCTCTGGTATTCTCTTGCGCTGGCCACTGGTAATCTTACACTTGTAAATTAGGAAGCATTTGCAGAGTTAATAGCGAGTTTGTTTGAGAGCTTTCTATAAAGCTAATTCTTCCTGAAATTTTTAATTGAGAGGGGCAAATAGGCAACTTTCCTGTCTGCTAAGGCCAAGGCAGGAGTTAGAAGGATTGTTCAAAAGTTGATCAAACTCTGATATCCTCTTCTCTCCCTGTGGGTAGCCTGGCAGTTTACTTCATACTCACCCTTTACTGCTGAAATCAGAGGCCCACACACTGCCTGCCGCACCAATGTGCGCTCCCACTAACAGCTTTACATCCAGCTTACCCTTGCTGGGTCTTGGGGTGAGCCAGAAAGCCCAGATATGTGTTTAAAATATATAATGTAAATGTTAACAGGTTTAACAGGTTGTAGTACTAATTAACCATTTTTTTGTTTGATTTTTTTTTTTTAAATTCCAAGACAACTTCCCTGTTAACCGGAATGTACTCGATTTCCTCATTCCCCGAGGTTGCTCCACGCGTGTGGAGGAAATCGTTGTCGGGATAAGGTTAAATCCTCCCTCTCCCAGCGAACTCCAGCGGTAAGTGCCCGCAGGCCCCGGCACGGCACCGAGCAGGAGGGAATTGAGGGGATTAAGCCCCTTCGTTCCCCAGCGCCGCCTCTGGAACGGCTGAACTCGCTTCCTCCCGCGCGGCG